ATTTGTTCGTGTTGGACTTTTCAAAGCGAAAGATGAGCATAGACGGCCTGTTAGTATGTTGAAGGCTCTCAAAGTGACCCTAGCTTGTGTTGCTAACCACGATGAAAGACACATGAGAGAGATGAAAGGTAAATATGAAATTACAACCTTTCCAATTTTCCAGCGGGTACAAGTGAACTGTTGCGTGCTCCTCTTTCTGCAGTCCAACATGATTATAACTACATATCTCTCCCTGCATGCGTCCCTCCATGAAGCTCAGTATTCCTGAGTGCATCAGTAAAGACTATTGCTGGTCATTTATAAAGTTGTCAAATCAACTGAACTGAATCAATTTTGAATTTTCAAATCGTTATTTTTGCAGTACTTACGCGTACTTTTGAGGTCTATACGGCTTGTGTGCTTATGTAAGCCATGTTTGTCAACAACTTTTATATATCTTTTCTTTCTTAATCACCGTAAATGTGATACGCTTTTCTCTTTGTCTTAACATAAGAATCTCATGAAGWGCTGGCTATTGCRACCTCGGTGAGTCCACTGCGACAAGGTGACAAAGCCTTGGTCAAGGTAGGAGGAGACTTTAAGGAAAAATACCAAAGGAACGAGCAGGAAAAAGTCATTCTTGTGTAAGTGAACGTTTTACAGAAATAAAGCTTACATAAAGGCTAAGGTTTTTTTTCAGCATCTGAACACAAAAACGAAAATTTGTTTTCACGATATCTTAAATTCGGAAAGTATACGATTCAAATTCGTAGTGTTTCTCTATTTCAGACCGCGTGTTCTTCTGTAGAGTATAATTTCATTGTCTAAACGTTTCTTTGTTAACATAAACAAATGGAAAAACCCATTTGTGCTTTTATTCCATATATTCACATTAAATGAATGCATAATTTGGTTATTGGGAAAGCCAAAAATAAAGTAAATTATTTTTTAATTAATCCGCCTAGTTTTATTTGATAACAATAATAGTGTTGTTAATAATTTTTATTTCTCATTTTCCTCGTCAGGTTTTTAAAAGACGAAAAGTTTGTCGCAGAGATAAATGTCTGTCGGAGAAAAGAAGACATTCAGAATGAAAACGACAGGGATAGAGAACTTATTGTTTCACTTTACAAAGAAATTGACAATTCCTTTTTGTGCCAACTTTCTACTGGTGAAACAGAAGGCACGAGGGTATGGTGAAATATACCTTAAATAATAATCATTGTGGTAGTGCGTGTGAGTGGACTCGGAGATATTAGCATTCTCTGCTACTCTCAAATCCGAGTATAAATAAAAAGATTATTATTATCATCACCATCATCATCATCATCATCATCATCTTTGAAATCATCTTTGAAATCATAATGATTTCTTTGCTTCCTTTGCTCCCGTGCTTTATTGCTTCCTTCCTTTGGATGCCTTCCTTGCTTGCTTGCTTGCTTGCTTCCTTCCTTCCTTCCTTCCTTGTCAGGCTTTTCGTAAAAATTTTATTAATGATCATTTGTTTGGTTGTTTTCATTTCAGCAGACTTTAACTTCTTCTGAAGGCGTAGAGTTTATTAAAAAGGAGCTTGGTCTTTGGTCAGGTGATAATATTGATGACTTTTTTGGTAAATATGAAAATTTTGCCTTGGATCAACCACAACATCSAGTGTCTGTTTCCGAATTGGAAGAAACTATCCGTAAACTTAAACTTTCCATTGGTGCAATAATTGCTACGAATATTAGTAATGTGCCAGAGGTTGAAGCAACGTGTTTCAGAATCGGAACCAARTACGTTATTACCAACAAGCATGTCATTAATGAAATACGCAAGTTGCGTATCCCATTGAGTAGGTGTCATGTTGACTTCAACTATAAAGAAGAACAACAAGRCTRTTGTGCTCRTYTSGCCKCACSTRACCCTGTGTTGGTCTCCTCTGATGAGCTGGACTATGYCATTCTCGAGTTGYGTTCAAATGATGGTGAGGRTKTTCCTCCGAGTGTGACTGAGTTAGGATTTAATATCGCCCCACCTGGTCGTCAGCTTAGAGGTGGAGAATGTTTAACGTTAATTGGGCACCCTGGAGGACTTAAAAAGCAAATAGATGTCTCGTGTCCAATCGTGCTACAACAAGATATTCGAAAACATCTAAATAACAAAAATTTGTATTGCATGATTCAAAAGGCCTACGATCATCCAGATTGTGCTACCTACGATGTAAGCACGTTTTTCAATGGGTCTTCTGGATCTCCTGGGATTTTGATGCAGAAAAAGCTATTGGTGGTTCTCCACAGCGGTGGGATTCCTSTTCAGGGAACCAATAAGTCTCATGTATTAGAATATGGCACTTTGATTTCGTCCGTTGTCAGAGATGTTATGCATAAGATTGATAATGGTACAATTCAAAACGTGACTCATGGACTGGATGACATTTTTGGTGGTTCGACTTCCTCAATATTTGACCAGTGCTCAGCGCCAATGGACATTGATCAAGATTAACTATCTCGTAGCSGCCAAGTCACGGTAGTCAAGTTTTACAACAAGCATAATCTTTGAACTTGAGCTTTTGGATATGGAATTCAAATGTATATAAAGAGACGTGGTAACGAGTTTGCTAYAGGAATAACACATGTACAAGAAAATGAATATGTGTGTTTCTCATGCGCTGAGTGCTACTCAAAATCCTGCAGAGTAACTGAGATACAGTACTGCTTAACTTTTTTTCCCCCCAATCTTATTTTTACCTTTCAGTTTCATTCAAATTGGGCTCCCTATGACTTGCGTATCGGGAGCTCCGCTTTTAGGGACTACCTAAATATATATATTAGGTTTCGTTATCAAGAAAGAAACTCTGGACCACTTCGCCGTTTGTTTGATTGAGCCGAGCGAATAATCAAGCCTCTCGTATTGTCTTGTCCAGAATYTGGACAAGACAGAGATATTAACACCTGGATGGTTCATAATGGGCTAAAGCTAAACCAGGATAAATCGGAACTTCCTGTTTTCATCTCCAAGTTTTGTGCTGGGCCAGTTCTGAGCTCTGTTGAAGTCTGCTAGGAATCTAGGCGTGATCTTTGACACCTATTTTTCATTTAATGACCATATTTCTAAGTTATGCAAATCTGCMAACTTTCATCTAAGAAATATAAGTAAAATAAGGAAGCATCTTAACAAGCACTCTACAGAAACTCTAATACATGCTTTTGTTAGCTCTAAACTTGACTATTGTAATTCTTTGCTCTATGGACGTATGCTCTGGGAATTCTATTGTTTGCTAATGATCATAACACCAAATTCTTTCGCACCATGCACGGTCTCATCTCGCTTGGCTGCTTTCCGATTTACCCCCGAAGTATGGTTCTTTATCTAAACTCGAAAGTCTTGCTCGCTTCTTTCTTGAAGTCTGAAGTGCTTGGAATTTTATAAGAATGCAAACCGCGTATCGGGCATCTACTTTTTTTATCATTTTTTATGATATTTCTGGTACTCACGACAATGAACGTACGGCGCACGACCTTATACTCACGATCCACGTACGATGTACTTACGCCCCGACAGCTTTTCGAGGGTTTTGGCGGGAAAAGAAAAACTTGAATTCCCCTCAATTACCGTCGAAGCCTMGGAATGCTGTCGTGGCCGGGGGTGAATGTCTCGTGGTGTGGAATTGTCTACGGCAAATATTGGAGCACGTCTACCGCTTTATCGAAGTTGTTATATAATAAAGTTGTAAAAACAGGAGAATTAGCTTTCTGTTGTCCGATGTAGACTGACATTGCTGCAAAGTACGCCTAGCMGGAGCATAACCTTATGCGTTTTTTTTCTTCAAAACGCTAGTAATATTTTTTTGTTTTATAATTTTTAGACAAACTGCCATTTTGTATATTTTGCATTGCCATTTTAAATTGCATAACGTATATATCATCGCKCATATTTCATCATTTGTTAAATACTAAAAATGGTTGTTTAACAACATTTTATTATTTATCTTTTAATAAAAGTTTTATTGTTCTAAGGGACGTCACTCACCGACGTTGGTTTTTCATTAGTCGATAACCTTTTAGTGCCTTRTATTTACCTTTTAGACGGTCTTCATTGACTGCCATCTGACGAAAATATGGCAAGCGCTGGCGCTGGTGGGATGAGCTGCTCTAAATACTCTRCCTCTAACCAATACGGCACCAGGTTCGATTCCCGGGGTCGGTACGATGAATGTGAGTCGAATTGTTTGTTGGTTCTGTCTTGYGTGTCGCCTCCACCAATGCKACCCGTGTTCGATTCCCGTGCCTGTGTCGTATGTGAGAGATGTTTCTGTGGGTATTACATTCATATATGTAATATTATTATTATTTTCAGTATAATATGACTACCGAAAACGTTCCATCAATTTATCGTTAGAAAATCTTTAATGAGAGGACCGCATTTAGTCTAGCTTGTTACTTATTTCGACTTGCAAATTTAATAGCTTTAATTTCTTCKTCAGGATGCTTGATCTCTGCCCTGACACTGGACTTGCTGGTTAAGAACATCGATGTCTTGTTTGACATTTTCTAAAGCTTTACAAATACGTCTGGTTCTTTGTCCCGCTCCTTCGTTTTTAACTTCTTTTAACAACCGAGTAATTTGCTCCTTGACCATCTCGAAAAACTTTAACAAGACATCAATTTTTCCACCCACAAAAAGATCCATACCTGAAAATATACAGATTCAGTAAATAACAATTCTATAGCAAGAAATCTAAGTAACATTTCATTCTTTCACGATTTACGCCCATAAATTACAAGTAGGTTGGCGCTTGCAGCAGATTGGCATTAAGAAGGAAAAAAACCCATGAAAGCACAATTAACTGAATTGTCTGGGTCACATGAGTGTTTAACAAGAACATCAGCTGCAGCAGGACATGCGCATCATATCAATATCATTATGATTATTAATATCATCAAGACTACCACGATTGAGCAAAATAATATAATTACCAAATTAAGAAATACAAGCCTCGCGTTCTATTTTCCAAATCATAAAATATCCAACTTTTACTCGTATTTCTATAGAACTTCTTCAAAGCAGCACAAAATAATCAACTTTGAAATATGAATACACTAGTTTACCCATGGTTTCCCACTCTCCCAGTTCGTCCGTTATTCGTTTTTCATCGTCCTCAGGCAATTTTAAAGCTTGAAGGAGATCTCTCATTAACTGAAAGCATCTTGTGAACTTTGTGTCGTCCCACTCCAGAAAGTTACAATGACCCCAAGGATTTCTGACGTCACTTCTTACGTCACTTGCCAAMTTTTGGACGTCAGGAGGAAATACGCTAGCGGACGAGAGAATACMAAGAACAGCAGACATGTCACAAGTATCATCAAAACCTGCAATGACAAATAACGAGAAATATTTTAGCCATTTATGACGAGAAGTTTTTTTTTTCACCTTCCAGCAACTTAGATCTGGATTAAATATGTGGAAATGGCCATAGTTTAGTGATTAGTGGCAGATAGAACGGTTAGACTTAATATTTTCTAACATTACAATTTAAAGAGGTCTCACCTGTGAATTTCGCCATGCATGGCATCAAATACAACTTGCCCAAGTCTTCTGCAGATTTCACATTGTAGTCGTAGRGATGTTTTTTGTTCTTTTTTGATTCATTGTTATTTATGCTCTTATAATGAAAATCCTGTTTTCCATCTTTCTTAAGGTGCTTCCTATGACTTTGATTGTSGATGCTGTGCTTGGTTTTCAGATCATCGTAATGTTTGTACATTTCTTTCTTGAGGAAATCTCTTAAAGGTGGCAAAAGGGTTTTATTTAGTCCAATCCCAACCACAGTCCACCTTTTCTCTTCATCACTAAGGTTAAAATTCAGTGTCACTGCGAATCAAAGAAGAAAATCCAAAATTTATTTCAAAAAATGGAGCTTTTGCGCGAGCAACATCTTTACCGATCAGCATTGCTACTGTTACCCAGTTACACTTTCATCAGACTTATCACAATTTGTTTCGATAATTGTGAAATTTAGAAAGTCGGTCGGAGATTTGAAATCTAAGCTYAAATTTGGCATATTTAGATATTAACTTTTTGCGAACTACCAAATAACTAACAACAAAACAATTCAATTCTTATTACMCACAATTTATTTYGGTCTCAGTTTTCAGATTCCGGTCGACAAGGTTTCTGGAAATAGGTGTATTACTATGGCATCACATTTCTTATAGCATCCGTATGTCGAAACGTATCAGTTAGAGATGGTCAGAGATCATACAAAAATGCGGCTAAGATTGCCTTACGTACCTCTGGTTGAACGAGTCGAAGTGCATGGGATATCTTTAGCCTAAGCAAACAAGCCCAAAAAGGAAACACAATTACCATAATGTGAACCAGGCCAAAAAAAACATCGAATTAAGCATGATATGCGTTTATATTATTCTCACCTTATAAAACAGTTTGCATAAACAAAGCTTTTGAACTTTATTGGCGTTAAAACAGACTTCAAGTTTTGCATCATCCCCTATCTCTCCTCTTTTGCAAATATAAACGTAATCTTGAGACACTTGCTCTCCTAAAAAACTGAAATGCATTAATCCAAATTAACAACACGATTAATAAACCTGACGGAGGCGTGACGGTCCTGCTATCTCGAAGGATATTGTCGCGGTGGTCGTGGGTTCGACCTTCGCATTATCCGTGTGTGAGTAGAGCCGGGCCCTCAGCAAAACTCAATTTCTAAATTCCATTTCGAGCCGTTCCAATGAACGCTCTTAGTTTTTAGCTCTTTCTTCGGGAGATTGAACCATTACTTCCCGCGTTACCCAATTCAAAAATAAATTGTAATAATAGTATAAGATATAAGATATTTTCTACCCTGTCTGCTTGTAATGAGCACTAGTATATATATATATATATAAGAAATCTGTGAATCAATTTTCCGTAGAACAGTGCTCAATACATCGATAGAAGTAGAGCAGAATATTTGTTTGAGAAGAAAAAGTCAAGACAACATTTTGTCTTGACTTTTTCTTCTTAAACAAATATATATATGTATATATACAGACAGACAGACAGACAGACAGATATAGATATATACATGTTACATAACCGATAGATTGAGGTCACAGTGATCTTATGTGACTTACCGAAGGAAAACAGAATCAGAGTTTATTTCGTCTTGTTTAAAATCTCCATTTATTTCAACGTAAGCCTTGTCACGTTTTCGCATCGTTCGCCACCCTGTTTGTGGAGTTAGTTCTGGGTAACATAAATAACAGGAAAATACGTTCATTTAAACTTATGACAGAGAGAATCGTGACAGCATAATTTCAATTTTTTGCTTTCTTGAAACTGAATTTTACTTACTGACTTGATAATGAAGTTCATTTAGCGTTGAAACGTCGTCGCTATTAGTCTTTTAAAAGTTTTTAYGGTAGATTTTAATGGTTCTTTATATCTTTTAGTTATTAGCAATAATTTTAGTCAAAATATTCAACAACTCTCGCAGTAGTAAGTTATTTCGATAAATGAAAGTCGTCACGCGTGGAATCGTCATCGCAACGAAGACGATTTTGGTGAGTGTCAATGAGGCGTTTCCATGACATTCCACAAGTGCACACCTTGAACATCTTTGATTTCCCCGGACAATGTTATGGAAACACTTTGTTTGACATCATCCACTAAAGCCTGCACTGTCGCGGATGGTACGATAACTCAGTGTGTTATTCAGAATTGATGAAGGGATAAACTTTCTTCGTATAAAAGGCTTATAAAAATACTATACCTTTCCACTCTTTTATGTGATTGTTATCAACGCACAACAGTCCTAGTTTGAAGCTGTTAAAGGAGTCGTCGTTAGTTTTAAAGACTGCGAAACAGACATTTCTTGGAGGTGAAAAATATTTGAAGATATTTTTSGATTTTATGGGTGGGGTGCCTCTCCATTTCCAAACAGACAACCTTTGAGCAAATTCAGAAAAACAATGTCACTGATAACACAAATAGAATTCAAAACTACAGGCTAGGATTTAAAAAAGTGAAGAATGATGCCGACAACGAAAAAATAAAACTTTTGAATACATTCTCTAATTCATACTTACCAGGAAAAATGTGWCACATGTAGTTGTATAGAATATTCATTCTCTTCGATGTGTATTTTCTCTGTGATGTCCTTCCATTGGCTTTCATTTTTACTTAGAGTTTTGCTATCCTCCAGAYAGAGCACGCAGATCTTACTTTCAGAATATTTTTTCAGTACAAGGTTGAGGCAGTTTTATTACTGGCAGTTTCTTAAAGTGAACGTCATCAAAGCCATCTACGCACAGTATTGGGAGAGGATACCCATTTTCTTTCTTCCAATAATCTACGAGTATCAGCTGCAGAGAATAAGATGGTAACAACATAAATGATACTGGCATTCATGATTCACTACTAATTACGCTGATTACCGTATATAAAGCGAAATAAGTAAAATACCATTAAATATGCCACAAACCTTCATGGTCCCTTCCACGGTCTTGTTAACAGCTCCTTGAGGGAACTCAATCGTGACATCATCACATACAGAAGACCTGACAACACATCCTTTGGGTGTGACTTGGAATCGATCTGTGATGAGTCTAGTTACGACTGCTAAGATACACAGCTTACTTATCTGTACTTGAATGTGGTCACACTCGCAGTGYTTAGGAAGATGTGACTTGTCTTTAAATTCTGAAATCCAAACACAGCTCTTTCAAAAAAGGTTTGGCGAAGGTTTTGTTGCATATCGCATTTAATACATGTAAACAAAGTTTGGAAAAATCAGTTCCATATTCTTATGACCGTTAATTGGCAAATTGCATTTACATCCCCTATAGTCGACCGTATTTTGGGTTTGGTATGCAGCATACAAGATCAACAAAACCTCAGTTCTCAAAYCTTTATATTAAACAGCTGCATGCATTCCTRGTTTTCACCTACATCATMAAAATTTTTGCCAGGACCTATAAAACACAATACTTCCACAGGCCGAAAGAGTAACAGAAACTATATATCTTAGCCAAAATTCTAGCTAAAAGAAGGTTTTACAATTGCGTGACAGAATTGAACTTGTAATAAATCTAAAACCAAACATCGATAATTCAAAATTATTTTGGTAAAACGTTTCTTGTAATGCTATAAACAAAATATTCGACAAACAGTTTTGTGGGGTGAATTAATGCTTTGGATTTTAGTTTTTTGATGACGTCACGTGAAAACCAAGAATACAGTACGCATATTTATGTGAGTCTTTCATTTTCATTTTTCTTTTTTTTTTTTTTCCTTAAAAAAAATAAAACTTATGGAGCCTAAGCAAGACATTGTACGTTGAAAGCTGACCTTCTATTTCTTGCCATTCGCCTTTGTCTTGGTTGAAAACTTTCACTACCGTCTCGTAACCAAGATCTCTACCAGGCCCAGAATGCATCAAGGCCACATTGATTGGTTGAAGTATATCTACATCATTAGAACCCAGTTCCAAGATATTACTAACAAGAGTCTCATTAGCACCAGCAGAGGAAGGTGAGTAGTCTTTTGGTCGAACTTTGCATGTGACTACCGTGCGTTTAGCTACAGCACTGGGAGGAAAATAAAGAAAAACGCCGATCCTCGAAATAGTATATGAACCTCCCATTTCGCCTCTGTTAAAGACAACGCAGTAAAACAGTATGTTTTAAAATAACGATCAACAAAATCAAAGTAGTTGACAAATAGAGAAAAATAACCCTTACATTGAAATCTCAGCTACGCTAAGGTCATCATAATCGTCTGCTGAAAATGGTGCTGAAATATCTGGAATGTCTGGAATCAACCATTCAATACAATATATTATAGTACATGTCAGAGTACATGTATATCARGGAAAAGTACTAGTAATTGATATATGATATATTATATGTTTGGGTTAATAAAACGAACTACCATCTAGTGATTTTCATTATATATAGTTAGRATAGTGCGCTGATTGGTCGAAAGCTGTGCGGCTTTATTATAGTGAACGGAGCACAGTGCTGAYTCCATCTGCGCGTGCGAAGTGCTRCTAGATCCTGCAACCGTTTTTCTTCAAATTTTGCGTAAATAAATTCAATACCGAAATAAAATTAGTAACTTCATGATAAAGCCATTAAAACAGCTTTTTCCGTGCTCCGTTCAGTAATAATGCACTTAGGAAGGGCCGTAAGCACTCAAGAAGTGTGAAAAGCACTCACCTAYGGGTCGTGCTTCTCCTTACACATCTTTCGTGCTTACGTCACTTCCTGCGTGCTTTATTACTGAAAGGAGCACGGAAAAAGCTGTTTTATTTGTTATAAATAAAATACGCAGTGTCATTTTAAAACGAATTCCCACAGTTCAACGATTTGTAAAACCTACGACGAGGACGTCAAACCGAAGAGTACTAAAATAACTTTATTTTGATTTGGTCGAAGATCATTTATAGTGGGGTCTCTAACGTTTTAAATTTTGATTTATTACTTAGGTTTTAACGATCACATATGAAGCGGTTTAAAAAAAGTACCTTTACATGAATGCTGTAACCTCAATGGAATATCTTCAACCTAAAGAAAAACAGCAAAACTCAGTGACTAGAATAATGTTGTGTTTATGAGAGAGGTTAAAAAGCATGAAATTATACTAAGAGGAGAATGCAATGAGCTGATCCAGCTGCTAGGGATGATGGACAGACGTTATGAATCACAAATTTTGAAGTACCCTCACCTTTCGCATCCTTGTTACTCTTGGTCCATACTCTTTCAGTTTGTCTTTATCGTTCAGTTTCTTACACATTGCTTCAAGTCTGTCACACAGTCGTTTTCTTACAACACTGTGGTTGTCTTCAGGCAAAGACTCCTCCATTACGAAAGCTTCTTCATAAMTTCGTAGAGCTTCTTTATGAACTTTTCTCCATTCATGAATGATCCCAATCAGGTACAGAATCCTCACGGTGTCTGGATGYTTACCAAGGATCTCGTTTGTTATTTCAAAGGATTTCTGGGCATGCTCAAGGGCCTGGTCATACTTTCCAAGACCGATAAGAATATTTGCAAGGTTTCTTTGAAAWATGGCAGTGTGGATTGTTTCGCTCACTCTCAGCTTTTCTTGCAAAGCCAGTGCTTTTTCCATCAGCTCTTTTGCCTTTCCATATTCTTTCTTTGCTCCTCCCTTGAAACCAAAAAGGCGATGGTACCACTTGTACCTTTCTTCTTCTTTTCGACCCAAACTATCATGAACTTGAGCCAATTGGTTGTAATATGTTGGAAATTCCCAATGATTTTCACTTCCGACAAGCCTTACTTTCATATCCATTGCCTGTTGGTAGTACGTCTTGGCAGTTATAGGGTCCTCAAGTTCCATGTAACAATTGCCAATGAGATTTAATGCACGAGCAGTTAGAGTGCTATCTCCATTCAACTGTTTTCTCAATTCTACTGATTGCTTGAAATGCTCGATTCCTTCTTCGAGAAGCTTTTTGCCATGTTTCCTTGTTCTTTGTTCTGGAGACAGTTTCTTTGCTTTCATCCACTTGATTTTCCCTTGACAATGCAAGAACAAACTATTGACCTCATTCAACTTTTCAGGAMTGGTAGGTTGCAGTTTTTCGATAGACGTCTTTGCCTTTTCTAACATCTCTTCGTTGAGTGTTCCTTCCAAATCGGAGCCTTGGATGGACTGCCAGCATCTCATTAGTGCACTGGTAAACCATTTTTCTGATTTAATGTAAATGTCAAACCATTAGAGAAACTAAACACAGTGACTATTAAACTAGARGAGATAACTTCAGCTAAAAACTAGCGTGAGCTGCGTCGTTGTTTCTAATGAAACAGCAATGATAAAAGGGTAAATTTTACACCGTGAAAAGATGAAAAAATGAAAACACCCACTGACGTTTCGGACGCTAGTCCTTCGTCGGAGTAAAAAGACTAATAGACTAGAAGGACTAGTGTCCGAAACGTCAGTAAGTTTTTTCATTTTTTTCATCTTTTCACTATGTAAAATTTACCCTTTTATCATTACTGACTATTAAATTAGTTAAATTAGTCGCCAACAAAGCGCGTATGCATACAAATAGAGATAAATAAAATTATTTTACTTCCAGTCCAGATTCCTAAAATTTGTGCTTTCTGATTGCTTGTTTGAGAGCGCGATATTTTCTCAGTATCTGCCCTCGGTCCGGTATTCTGACTTCATCCGCCGCTCGCGAGCATGAGATAACGGATTGCGAAAGAAGTGGAAATATAAAGGGGAAAACTAATCAAGTTATTTATCAAAGTAAGTGTTTCTTGAAGGTTGGTATCATTATGGTAGATCAACTGCTTCAACAACCTTAAAATTATTATAAATTTAATAACCCAGCTTTCGGAAAAAGCGCCCATCATCAGGGTACAATGTTTGGAGCGATGTTCCGAACGGTTGTGTACGTGTACAAATAATCAAAGAGCGCGCGCAAGACAAGAGCGCGAAGACAATTGGTAGTAATACAAAAGCACGAGGAAAGGAAGGAAAAGTAAATAAATAGTCAAATAAAGAAACAAACAGATAAAAAAATAGATAGATGAAAATGAATGAATGAATGAATGAATG